ATTTTGACTCTTTCAAAGGGTTTTCTCTTAACATGCAAAATACAATTTTTTATAATAGAAAAACAATTGATTAGTCAATACAGGTGTAAAAAAATAAAAAGTTTGGACTATTCGGTCTAAACAATCTAACATAATATCATTACTCAAATTAAAATCAGTACATCTATTTAATATTTGATAGAATCAGAACTTGCATGTATATATCTCATCAAATTACAACCACAACATTAGCGATGGTAGGCTGATTGCATTGAAACTGAAGAACAAGAATTATTAAGTAAATGAAGAATTGTAACAACCACGATTTTTTTTTTTAAAGATTCGTGTTATATATATATATATATATATAAAAAGAGATAGAGCCTACGAAATGAGGTAGGTTATTTGACTAGCTTATTTGACGTAGATTATTTGACGGAGATAACGCTATAATTCAGTTTAGTTTGTTTTTTTAAAAGAGTCCTTATGGAACTCAACTGCTGGTTATATATCTAAACTTAGTTATGTATTCAGTTTAGTTTTTTTTACGTACGTTGTTATTCCGATGATTTTTTTACGTGTTTGTTGTTGGAAAGCGAGAAAAAGCTCAAATGGTGGTGATTGCAATTCAGGCAAGTTAATTCTTACTTATATCTTGTATTTTTTTTTTTTTTTTATGTGATTGATAGTAAGATGATTATCTATGAATTAATTATAAACTCATGATCGTGGGTATACTTATTCTGGGATTTTAATCTTGTATTATGGGTTGATCCATGAAAGTAACATCTATTGATTAAATTATAAATTGTTATTTAGAGTTTTTAGTACTGATTGACATATACATGAGTACATTAGTACTTGAATGTTAGATCATTGATTGAGAGATAATTATTTGATAATCTGGTGCAAAGGATCCAGAGTGTTAGAGTTGTAGAGTTGGTGTTAATCTTTTATATTTGGTGCGACCGAGCGTGTGTACAAAATAATGCACAACACTTTAGGTTTAGAAATAATGTCAAGTGGGCACCATATTTTAAAATTTATAAAACCACTAAACACTTATACTATAGAGTATGAAGTGAGCAGGGATCGTCCTAAGAGATCTAAACAATTATAGGTTTTCCAGAATTGAATTCTACTTTAGTGCTTATGTGATTGCCAAAAGGGTTTTGTTTGTGATTAAAACTAATTTTAAACTAAATGATTGCAATAAAGAAATAGAGTTTAAGAGATTGGAAAGAGACTTAGGGTGTAGGATTCACCACTAAGCACATTCCCTAACTCACTCACTTTCAACTAATTGGGGAAATAATACTATGTAATCTATATGTGGCTAACAAGTGCAATAAAAAGTGTAAACCATCAATTTCAAGCATGAATCAACTACCTGATGACAATTAAACTAAGTGTAGTGCAATTCACTCATTCAAAGCATGATTTATCAATCCAAGTTTCAAATTTAACACACATTAATTTAGAAGATAATGCAATTGTGACAAAAAGTATGAAATTCAAACATAAGTATGGATGGTTTATTTAATAATAATTGAATTGCAATTAAATTAATTAAACTTAAATTAAACTAATTAAACATGAATTTAAAACTAATTAGACAACAAATTAACTTAAACACGTAGTACCATCCATCAAATGGAAGCATTTTTCATCAATTTGAAACACAATTACAACTAAGCAATACCATGCATAGCCATCACAAGAATCAATTAACAAAGAATTCATGTGTAAAATTTGTTTATCAATTAACCACACATCAGACAATATGAGATTAATACAGATAATCAATTGGAAGAATTTAATTCATCATATTCAAGACTATACACTAATTACATAAATTAATCCCCAAAAAGTATGAAAAGAGAGAGAGAATAGGTTACATGCTTAGGGTTTATCCAACCCTAAGTAGAAGAATTAGCCACTCATGGTCGATGGAGTCGAAGACAGGACAATCCCCATCATCTGCTTCATCTTCTCTGAACTTTTCTTCCAAACCCTAACCTGTTCTTACTTTTTCTTTTTTTTCGCGTGTTTTTCCAGAGAGAAAATACGATACTACGATACAGAAAAAAAATAATAAAATAAAACTTAATTTTTTTCTCTAATAATCTTTACCTAAATAAAAACTAAAACTAACCCTAATCTAATGGCTCACCGGGCCTTAAGTAACAATCTCATTAAAGCCCAACAGTTCCCAAAATGAGCCCAAAAATTAAATAAAAATTGTAATGTTGCTAAGTCCTGGGGGATCGATCCCCCCACCTTGGGGATCGATCCCCCCAGAGTTGACAAATTCCTTTAAGCCTTATTCAGCTCCATTTTTGCCCCGGGCTATTTGGTTTGCTTCTCCATCTTTGGGAACATCATCAAAGGCCCGAAATTGACCGCTTTGTGCCATTGTCTGAAAATCTTTGCTTAACTTCAAAAAGGCTTAATTGGACCGTTCTTAGCTCATTTTAACTTTATTACCCTGAAATACACATAAACATAAATTATGACTAAAACATAAAATTAAGATAGATGCAAAGACTAAAATACCTTAATTTAGGTGCTGAAATGTGCAACATTTAAGCACTTATCACGCCCCCAAACTTAGATATTGCTAGTCCCTAGCAATGAACTACAGTATGGAAATGAAATAAACATAGATACAACTATGAACTAATAAAACAAATAAAGATAACACCACTTTCGTAGGGATCGCGGTTGCATTTAGCATATGCAACAAGCCTTTTAAACCCCTAGGTTACCCCTAGTGGACGAGTGAAGTCTCGTGAGGGTTTACAGAAATGGTACCCACAAACATCAACAGCTCTTTCTTACTTGAGAAGTAACGACACATATTAAACAAGTGTTGAAAGTAGACTACCTCAAGTATGCAAATTTCTGCCATTTCTAAGCTATTATCAACGTTTCAACATCATGTAAGCAAAAACGGTCCTCCACACATCAATCAATTAATCATGCAAATTGAATCAATTCTATCATCCTTTTAAGTGAACCGGCATCAAAATGTGTTGCTATCCTAGCAAATCAAAGTAATGGCATAGCCTTACCCTCAAACTAGCATGCAGATATAGTACCAGACATCAAGACATTGAATGAACCTTGTTATTTAATCAAACATTCTTTTTTTTTTTTTTTTTTTTTATTGATTTCATTTTTTATTTATTTTTTATTTTTATGTATGACCATGTGCAATGTCCAAGTTCCTTAAGCTCTCTAATCACCCCATGTAACAAGCGTTGAGCCAACGACTCCCAAACCAGATGGTCTTAGGGCGTTAAGTGTAAAGACACTCCTAAGGGCGTAATGACTCGGAATGGCTAGGCTATGAACTCAAACTAATCATACATCTTACATTCTTCCCTTGTCTTCCTTTTTAATCAGTAGACATGTTGAAAGAATGCAATTTTTTTTTTTTTTTTTTAATTTATTTCTTTCTTTTCTTTGCAATGTTATTTTATCAAGAATGAAAGCTTTCAAAGCATACTAGCTCAATTGGAACAAACCAAGACAATAATCAACTAAGCATGTACCCCACAAATTGAATGCTAGTGTGCGCAAGTGCAAATGTAGAATTCTAGAATCAACTCTCAAAGCATTTTCAGCCAACAAGATGATGTGTACCACAAAAGCAAACATGATGTCAAAAATTAAAATTTACCCCTAAATGGCATCCTAGAGCATACAAGAAGTATTAGACTCTAACAACTTGTTTCTTAAAGGCACTATGCTTCAAAAGTTCAAAATCATTGCCAAATATATCTCAAATCTCAATCATGCATTTAAAACTCAACTTAAAGTAGAATGTAACAAAACTACTTTACCCCCAAACTTAAACTGCACATTGTCCTCAATGTGCAATGAGAACAATGAAAGAAATGAAAAGAGTATACCGTGATGGCAAAAGTTAATGACGCCCGGCAATGATCCATGACGAAAGAGGTCTCCCCCAAACTTGGATGCAAAAACCTACTAGAAAAGCCACACTAGCAACTCACATCAAATATCAAATGGGATAAGTAAAGCATACATTCCAAAACAATATAGAATAAGATGTAAAGAGATATGATATCAAGCCCTTTGTAAAAGATGAAAACATGCATAACTAAGCAGAAGGGCATAATGGGGACACATATTTTTGTGATATGTTTTTTTTTTTTATATATATATTTCAAGAATGGGATTGATCTCCCAGTTTTTTTTTTTTTTTTTAACACAAAGAAAAATATTCTAAACTAAAAAGAAAAAATATATACTAAACTAAAAAGAAATAAATATAATTTTTTTTTTTTTTTTTTTTTACAAAGGAAAAGAACATGTATATACAACCAACAAAATAAAATAAGAAAAATGGGCTAAGTTTAACGTCTCTAGCAAGACAGAATGGTACTGAAATTTTATTTTATTTTATTTTAATATTGTTTTTATTTTTATCAAAAATAAATAAAGAATTAAATAACTAAAAACACTACTACAAATTCTACTTAGCTTTTTTTTTTTTTAAACATCAATGCTACTCTTTTTTTTTTTTTTATTTTTTTATTTTTTTATCTACTTTTGTTTTAATAAATCAATTCAAAAAAAAAAAAAATAATAATAAAAACATAACATATATATATATATATATATATATATATACTTTTTAATTATTAAAATTTTTATGTTATGTTTTTATTATTATTTTTTTTTGTTTTTTTTTATTATTTTAATTTCTCTTTTCTTTTTTTCTTTTTTTTTTTTTTTTTTTTTTATGTATCAATTGGAACGGCGAAGCCAAAAGCTCGCCGGAGAAGATGAACAGCCGCGACCGCTGTTGGAAGAACCAACCGCCGGAAATCGTGGCCGGAGAAGAACCAGCCTTGTTCGCCGGCGAAACCAAGCCGAGATCGCCAGAGAGAAACGAACCTGCGACGCCGGAAAAATGAACCCAGTTGCGACGCCGGAAAAATGGCTCAGACACCATTTTTTTTTTTTAACACGAGGTCGCCGGAGAAAGCCTAATCAAAAGCCGCCGGCGAGACGCAACCGAAATTCGCCGGAGAACAGCGACCCAGCAGCGATCGGAGAAGAACCCAGCCGCTATGCCGTTGGACGAACCAGCAGCAATCGCTGGAGAGACGACGCCGATGCAGCCGTAAACCAGCCGCGATCGCTGGAAGAAAAGGGACGCCGATGAAGCCGAGATCGCTGGAATATGATGCCGATGCAGCCGCGACCTCGCTGGAGAATAACGAGCCGCGAACCCACCAGCCGGAATTACCGGCTAACGAACCCAGAAAATGGCAAACGGCATCGGAAAGACGAACCCAGATGCGACGCCGGAAAGCAACGAACAACCGCGTCATCGGATGACGAAACAGATCGCCGGAAAGATGAACCCAGCTGCGAATCCACTGCTGGGTCTCGCCGGCATATGAAATAGCCGTGACCCAGATCTGACGCCGAAAAAATAAAGGCCGAAACAGCCTTGATCGCTGGAGAACACCAGCCTAAATCGCTGGAAAAACTCAGCCTCGACGCCGGAGAAGAACTATGAACAGCCGCGAGAAGAGAAGAGCGAACCGTGAGGGTTGGACAATGAAATTGGGTTTAAAGATTTTTGGGGGAAGAAGCAGAATTTCAAGCAACAGAAGAGAGGAATGTATTGGTGGTTTCAAGGAATAAGGTGCGATCGATCTGCTTTGATGGGGGATCGATAATTTTAGGCAAAAAATGTCCGCTTCACTGTTTAATGAGAAGGGAGAAACATAAGTAAAATGGGATCGATCCCTTTGGACGGGGGATCAATCCACTTGGCTTATTTTTTTGTTGTTCTCTGCCAAGAAAATGGGATCGATCTCCTACCCATTTTGGGGATCGATATTTCTTTTTTCCTTTTTTTTTTCAATTTTTCAAATTTTTTTTTTTTAAAAAAAAATAATAATAATAATAATAAAAATAAATAAAATAAATAAAATAGACAAAAAAAAATAAAACTAAACAAAACTAAAAAGAATATATACACTAAAATGAAAAATAGATAAAAAATAAAATAAAAATAATAATAAATAAAATTGAAATAAAATCACTTATCAACCTATACTAATTAATACTTTTTAAAAAAATTTTTTTTTTATGTTTTTGAATAAATCAAAATTAACATGAAATATATACAAAAATAATAATAATAAAATAGAAATAAAATCAAACACCAACCTACATTACTCATTTACAATTTTTTTTTTTTTTTTTTTTTTTTTTAAATTTAAAAATGCATAAATGTACAAAAGGAAAAATAGAAATAAAATAATAATAAAATGAAAATTAAAATGCAACGAAAGAGAAACTCGATACAACTAGTGTTTAACGTCGCTAGAAAGACGTGAGATGTTCTCAATCTTCAAAGTAAATGGGATCTACCAAGAGGGCAGATTCCACATTTCTTTGAAAATTTTGTCCATCAATGTATGGTTTAAGCCTTTGACCATTAATTTTGTCTATCAATGAGGTGAGACGGAGATAATTTGATAAGGGCCTTCCCATTTGGTTCGAAGTTTTCCAGGGAAAAATTTGAGCCTAGAGTTGAATAACCAAGCCTTTTGACCGGCTTCAAAGGACTTTTTCACAATATGTTTATCATGAAATGCTTTTGTCCTTGCCTTGTAAAATTTTGAACTATCATAGGCATCATTTCTCAATTCCTCTAGCTCATTGAGTTGGAGTAAACGGTCATTTCCAGCCTTATCAAGATCAAAGTTGAGCCTTTTTATTGCCCAAAGTGCTTTGTGTTCTAGCTCAACCGGAAGATGACAAGGCTTCCCATAAACAAGTCTATATGGAGACATGCCTATTGGAGTCTTGTAAGCTGTCCGGTAAGCCCACAAAGCATCGTTCAATTTTCTTGACCAATCTTTTCGGGTCGGATTGACAGTTTTCTCAAGAATATGCTTGATTTCCCTATTTGACACCTCGACTTGCCCACTTGTTTGGGGATGGTAGGGAGTGGCCACTTTATGTGTGACGGAGTATTTCAAGAAAAGTTGCTTCAAGAATTGATTACAGAAATGTTTTCCTCCATCACTTATCATAGCCCTTGGCATACCAAAACGAGCAAAGATATTTGATTTAACGAATGCAATTACCACGGAGTGGTCATTCATTTTGGTAGCACAAGCCTTAACCCACTTTGAAACATAATCAACGGCAACGAGGATGTATTGAAAGCCATAAGACATTGGGAATGGTCCCATAAAGTCTATGCCCCATACATCGAAGATTTCAACTACAAAGATTGAAGTTAAGGGCATCATGTCTCTCTTTAACATTGATCCCAACTTTTGACACCGAACACACACCTTACAAAAGTTATAGGCATCTCGGTGGATAGTGGGCCAGAAGAGCCCACTTTGAAGAACCTTCAAAGCGGTCTTTTTTCCACTAAAATGCCCACCACAAGCAAGTGTGTGACAAAACGCTAGGACGCTCGGAACTTCACTTTCCGGCACACATCTTCTTATGATTTGATCCGGGCAATAACGAAACAGAATGGGATCTTCCCAATAGTATTTCCGGATGGTAGCAAAGAATCGGTCCTTTTCTTGTTTTGACCAAGTAATGGGAAGTTTGCCGGTTACAAGATAATTAACAATGTCGGCGAACCAAGGCAACGTCCCATTTGAGATTTGAAAGAGTTGTTCATCCGGAAATGATTCATGAATTTCAAGATTTGGAGAAGATTCAACCATTAATCTAGACAGATGATCGGCAACGACATTGTCGGAGCCCTTTTTATCCTTGATTTCAAAGTCAAATTCTTGAAGAAGTAGGATCCATCTTATCAAGCGAGGTTTGGTTTCCTTTTTCATTAAAAGATGCCTAAGAGCGGCATGATCGGAAAACACAATTACCTTGGATCCTAAGAGATATGACCGAAATTTATCAAGGGCATATACTACAGCAAGTAACTCTTTCTCGGTGGTAGAATAGTTCAATTGGGCACCTGAGAAAGTCTTACTCGCATAGTATATAGCATATGGTAGTTTACCTACCCTTTGCCCCAAAACAGCACCCATTGCGAAGTCGGAAGCATCACACATAATCTCAAATGGTAATGACCAATTTGGAGGTTGCATGATGGGAGCGAATGATAGAAGAGTACGAAGTTGATGAAAAGCATTTAGGCATGCTTCATCAAAGATAAATGGAGTCTCCTTGGCAAGAAGGTTGCACAAGGGTCTAGCAATTTTGCTAAAGTCTTTGATGAACCGGCGATAAAAACCGGCATGTCCTAGAAAGGAGCGGATTTCTCTCACCGTAGTAGGTGGAGACAATTCAGAAATTAGCTCAACTTTCGCTCTATCTACTTCTATTCCTCTTTTAGAGATGACATGTCCAAGCACGATTCCTTTTTGAACCATGAAATGGCTTTTTTCCCAACTTAACACAAGATTAGTCTCACGACATCTTTGAAGCACTTTTTTAAGATTTTGGAGAGACGAATCAAATGAGGACCCAAAAACCGAGAAGTCATCCATGAAGACTTCTAAATACTTCTCCACCATGTCCGAAAAAATTGACATCATACACCTTTGGAAAGTGGCAGGAGCATTGCACAATCCGAAAGGCATCCGTCGATAAGCAAATGTACCGAAAGGACATGTGAATGTGGTCTTTTCTTGATCTAATGGATCTAGGGCCACTTGATTGTACCCCGAGTAACCATCTAGGAAGCAATAGTATTGTTGCCCAGCCAATCTTTCTAAGATTTGGTCAATGAAAGGCAATGGAAAATGGTCATTCCTAGTGGCAGAATTCAGCTTTCGGTAATCTATGCAAACACGCCATGAAGTGGCGGTGCGTTTCGAAATAAGATCACCTTTAGCATTTTCAACAACTGTGATTCCTGACTTTTTAGGAACCACTTGAGTTGGACTAACCCATTTGGAATCAGAGATAGGATAAATGATTCCTGCATCTAGAAGTTTCACAACCTCCTTCATGACAACTTCCTTCATATTTGGGTTCAATCTCCTTTGAGCATCCCTAAATGGCCTTTCATCCTCTTCCATGTGTATGCGATGCATACAAATAGAAGGGTCAATGCCTTTTAGGTCAGCCACACTCCATCCAATGGCTTCTTTGTTAGCTTTAAGCACTTCCAAAAGATCATTCTCTTGGTCATTTTCAAGATTGGAAGCAATGATGACCGGAAGAGTCTCTTTTGGGCCTAAGAAGGCGTATTTCAGATTTGATGGAAGAGGCTTAAGCTCAAGAATAGGAGGAGAGATGAGAGATGGAACTGGTGGAGTACTAGAGAGTGAAGGAAGAGGTTCTTTCTTGCTTTTCCAAGGTGGGTAATCCAAAGTGGCCACAGAGTCCATCAAAGCATTCACCTCACTTATGGATCCTTCTGTGTCAAAACCACAACTTTCAAACATTTCACAAAGGCACGCCTCAAGAGGGTCTTTAGATAGAATAGAGGGAAGAGTCTCCTCTATGGTTTCATCCAAGACATCCACTAGGAAACACTCGTCTTCATCTGTGGGATGTTGACTCGCATTGAATACATTAAGCTTAACCATCATGTTGCCAAATGAGATATCCATAATGCCAGATCTACAATTAATGGTGGCATTGGCAGTGGCAAGGAATGGCCTTCCTAGGATGACTGGAATGTGATTGGTGAGATTAGGGACTGGCTCAGTATCTAGTACCACAAAATCAACCGGGAAATAAAATTTATCAACCTTAATTAGAATATCCTCAACAATTCCCCTTGGTTTCTTAATTGATCTATCGGCTAGTTGGATTACTACCGATGTTGGCTTCAAGTCCCTTAACCCTAACTGCAAGTAAACAGAGTATGGAATGAGATTGATACTTGCACCTAAATCAAGGAGAGCTCTACGAACCTCTTGGTTTCCAATAACACAAGAAATAGTCGGAGCACCCGGATCCTTGAACTTAGGAGGAGTGTTAGAAAGAATGATGGAACTCACTTGTTCTGTTAAAAGCACTTTCTTAAGGTCCCTTCCCTTACTCTTCCTCTTTTGTGTGCACAAGTCCTTTAAGAACTTTGCATATGGTGGAATTTGCCTAATTGCATCTAGAAGAGGAAGATTGATTTTCACTTGTTTAAACACTTCCATCATATCATGAATTTTTCCTTCTTGTCTCCCAAATGATGAAGTCTCTCTCAAAGCTTGAGGAAATGGAGCTTTTGGCTCATAAGGCTTCTTTAATTGGGGAGATAATGATGAAGATGATGGAATGTCCTTTTTGGAACCATTAGCATCTAAGGAAATTGGAATAGAATTTGGAATGGGATGGATGCAACCACTTGGTTGTGCCAATTCATTATCCTCCTTAGGTACCTCTACCTTATTATCCACTTTCCTACCACTCCTTAAGGTAGTAATTGCTTGAACTTGCTCATTTCCAAAAAATTCTGATGAAGGACTTGATTGCGCCATAAATTGCCCTTTAGGATTGGTCTCAGTTTGACTAGGCAACTTACCTTTCTCTCTCACATTTAAAGAATTAGCTAATTGCCCAATTTGAGCTTCAAGCTTTGCAATTGATTGAGAGTGAGAATGAAACAGTTGATTATCTTTTTGAAGATTACCTAAAGCTTGCAAGACTTTGTCCTCAAAAGCGGAACTTTTAGGAGGCGCTTGATTTGGATTAGAGTAAGATTGAGAATTTGATGCTTGAGGTTGAGAATAGGATTGAGAATTCTGAGGATAAAATGAAGGACGGTAACCTTGAGAATTCTGATTTTGATTTTGGAGATGTGGGGGAACATACTTTGCTTGGTAACCTTGAGTTTGAGGAGGGTTTGCACCGTCTCCTTGATTTCTCCATGCAAAGTTAGGACGATTTTTCCACCCCGGATTGTAAGTATTGGAATAAGGGTTGTTCCCTTGATGAATGAAAGCAGCATTTGCTTGTTCTTGAGACTCACTTGGTATAATTTGTCCAAGAGGGCAATTTGAAGTATGGTGAGTGTAACTAGAACAAGTCATGCACATTTCATTGGAATGGTGAGGATATGATTGAGTTGCCGGACCTTGATTCAAAAGGAATGTATCAAACCTTTGAGTAAGATTTTTGACCTCAGCGGCAATTTCCATGGAAGAGTCTATTTGATTTATAGCTTTCTTTCCTCCCATATGTGCTAGGTGACTACCCCTAGAAGATGAAGATCTATGCATTGAGTTTTCACTCATTTTTTCGAAAAGTTGCCAAATTTCGTCTTCATTTCTTTCAATGTAGCTTCCGCCACAAGAAGCATCAACAATGCCCTTATTGGCATCGGATAAACTTGAAAAGAAACATTGAACTAATTGCCACTTAGGAATGTCATGATGTGGACACTTCCGTAGCAAGTCATTCAAACGTTCCCATGCTTCATGAAGGGGTTCTCCTTCTTGTTGTTTAAATTCACGAATGGAAGTTCTCATGGCATCAGTTCGACTTGCGGGGTAATACTTTTTTAAGAACTCTTGTTGCAATTGTGCCCAAGAGGTGATTGTATTTGGCCGCAAGTTGTTGAACCAATATTTAGCTTTATCCCGAAGAGTGAAAGGGAAAAGCTTCATTTTTAGGACTTCTTCCGGAACATCCGTGATTTTCACGGTGGAACAAACTTCCAAGAACTCATCTAAATGTTTTTAAGGCTCTTCATTGCTCAACCCATAGAAAAGGGGGCACATGTTAATGGTGGAAGCCTTAATCTCATAATGATGAGCACGAAAATTTGGCAATTGAATGCAAGTAGGTGCATTATATTGATTTGGAGTGTAACGATCCCTAAGGACCATTGGAGGATTGAGAGGATTGAGAGGAGGATATGGCATTTGACCTTGTTGATGATATGCCATTTGACCTTGTTGAGGGTATGCCATTTGAACATATTGTTGTTGTTGCTCACCAATTGGGGGAACAACATTTGGCTTTGGCATCCCTAGATTAGGTTGTTGCACCGCATGATTAACTGGTTGTGGCATTCCCAAGGGTGGATGCACACCTTGAGGATCCATAATATGAACTTGTGGTGGGTGGTGCACACCATTATGATCCACATGACCAAGATCTACAATGGGATCTTCAATTGGATCTTCCATTAAAGGTGATGGAAGATCAAAATTTAAAAGATTAAGATGACTATCCCTAGTACTACTTCTTAAACGCCGAAGAAAAATTTTGAGATTTTGATTTACAGGAGCAAGAGGACGATTAAGTGATCTACGACCATGCATGCACTAGAACAAGTCAACACACCAACATTTCAAAATTTCAACCTCCACATACGATGTTCCCAAACTCCTCAATAATATCAATGCACTTAAAACAAATAAATGCCTCCACACGGGCCGATGCCTTCTACAAGAAGGTATGCTTGGACTTAAAAATAAAACAATTCAATTTAAGCCTCCACTTGGGCTGTCCAAAGCATGCAAATTGGTATACAATTAAAGTACTAAAATTAAAGAGAACTTACAGATGGTCCTTAAGCAACTTCAAAATTTTTTTAATTGCTTCTAAGTCCAGCGTTTGCTCCACTTTGCTTCAAGTACCTAATTGACAAATCAAATAATAAAAAAAATTAAAAATTAAAATGACTTAAAAGTAGACAATCAACAAAGAACTAATGTTTAATTCAATTCTTCAAAACCGTTAGATCCCCGGCAACGGCGCCAAAACTATGGTGCGACCGAGCGTGTGTACAAAATAATGCACAACACTTTAGGTTTAGAAATAATGTCAAGTGGGCACCATATTTTAAAATTTATAAAACCACTAAACACTTATACTATGGAGTATGAAGTGAGCAGGGATCGTCCCAAGAGATCTAAACAATTATAGGTTTTCCAGAATTGAATTCTACTTTAGAGCTTATGTGATTGCCAAAAGGGTTTTGTTTGTGATTAAAACTAATTTTAAACTAAATGATTGCAATAAAGAAATAGAGTTTAAGAGATTGGAAAGAGACTTAGGGTGTAGGATTCACCACTAAGCACATTCCCTAACTCACTCACTTTCAACTAATTGGGGAAATAATACTATGTAATCTATATGTGGCTAACAAGTGCAATGAAAAGTGTAAACCATCAATTTCAAGCATGAATCAACTACCTAATGACAATTAAACTAAGTGTAGTGCAATTCACCCATTCAAAGCATGATTTATCAATCCAAGTTTCAAATTTAACACACATTAATCTAGAAGATAATGCAATTGTGACAAAAAGTATGGAATTCAAACATAAGTATGGATGGTCTACTTACCTAATAATTGAATTGTAATTAAATTAATTAAACTTAAATTAAACTAATTAAACATGAATTTAAAACTAATTAGACAACAAATTAACCTAAACATGTAGTACTATCCATCAAATGGAAGCATTTTTCATCAATTTGAAACACAATTACAACTAAGCAATACCATGCATAGCCATCACAAGAATCAATTAACAAAGAATTCATGTGTAAAATTTGTTTATCAATCAACCACACATCAGACAATATGAGATTAATACAGATAATCAATTGGAAGAATTTAATTCATGATATTCAAGACTATACACTAATTACATAAATTAATCCCCAAAAAGTATGAAAAGAGAGAGAGAATAGGTTACATGCTTAGGGTTTATCCAACCCTAAGTAGAAGAATTAGCCACTCATGGTCGATGGAGTCGAAGACAGGACAATCCCCATCATCTGCTTCATATTCTCTGAACTTTTCTTCCAAACCCTAGCCTGTTCTTGCTTTTTTTCTTTTTTCGCGTGTTTTTCCAGAGAGAAAATACGATACTACGATACAGAAAAAAAATAATAAAATAAAACTTAATTTTTTTCTCTAATAATCTTTACCTAAATAAAAACTAAAACTAACCCTAATCTAATGGCTCACTGGGCCTTAAGTAACAATCTCATTAAAGCCCAACAGTTCCCAAAATGAGCCCAAAAATTAAATAAAAACTGTAATGTTGCTAAGTCCTGGGGGATCGAT